TGATATTAATACCGTTAGAAAATAGATTCCAAATAACTCAAGAAAAAGTTCAGTTAGATGAGATCATGAGGTATACTAAATTCTACAGTGAACATTACATTTTCCCAGCAGCATAGGGTTAATACCATTATGATAATGATATTGATGATAATAGTAATAGAAACTTATGGAATGTAGTCAGGTAGGCCAAGTCATTTGTGAATAAGCACTTTTGAAGCTATCTAAGTGTAAACAAAATTGATAAAATGATAGCTCAGTAGACACCACATGTACCAGATACCAATGGGTTAAAATCAACACAGTTATTTAATAATCAATACACGCATGTCATCTATTCCTTTCTGAAATTGGGAGTAACCTGGCTCAGTATCTAGAATGGTTGATGTGAATCATATTTTCAAACCATTTAATCAGAAAACCTTTATGAATTTCCAACAGCCTGTGCGATTCAAGTTGAACCACAGCAGTACACGTGGTAACAACACAGATAAAGAGTATTCTCTGTGGGTGGGCGACCTTACACCTGATGTGGACGACTTTGCCCTGTACAAGACTTTTGGAAGCAGATATAACAGTATCAAGACAGCAAAAGGTATGTGTACACCAAAGTAATAAAGTATATTGTGAGAATCTCTACATGACGGGCTTCTGTTTGTAAGGCTTTCATGCACTTTACAAAGGTTACATATTTCAGAATGACAATGATCTTTTTCTGTTGTACCAAGTATATAATAAATGCACAAAATTATAATGTAAGTTTCTCTCTTTTTTTTTAGTTATATATGATCCAAATGGACAAAGCAAAGGATTTGCTTTTGTGAGATTTTATTCAGAAGATGAATACAAAGATGCCCTTACGCACATGAATGGCTTCAAGGGCCTGGGGCAGAAACCTCTGAAAGTGAGTTATGCTGTGCCCAAGAAGCAGCATTACCCTGGCATGTGAGTAACTGGCAGCAATTTGCGTATTGGTTGAAGTTCATGGTAAACTTGCTTTGTAAATTCTTGTTGTAAAATTATTTAAAAACCAACCTGAATTATCTAGAAGTCTTGAGTCATTCTCTTTTTTGACTGTAAGTCCTATTTTGTAAAGATTCTTTAATGGTATTGCATCGTCATACAGGAATCACATGGGTGGAGACTATAGCCAGTACTATGAGCAGTATTGGAACAATTATGCTGCCTGGCAAAACTACGGCACATACTATGACCCCTACTCATCTTCCTATGGAGACTACAACACTGGTTTGGAAGGAGGCACAGGAGATGCTAAGGACACAAGCAAGGAAGATTTTGAGCCAGTGGGTGAGTTCCTGCCCCATTTTATTTATTTGCTTATTTATTTATTTATTCATTCCATCCTTTTTCCTTCTTCCTTTATCGTTTTATAAACTGGGGTATAATATAAAGTACTCCAAGGAAGGGAAAGGATAAGAGACACAAACCTCTCCTAATGTGAGACTTACTTTGCAGAGTGGAATGTCCCCATTGATGTTGACAAGGCCAATTCGGAGTACATAGAGAGGAGTGAGGAACTGTGGCAGGCGATTGAGAAGGCTCGCTGGACTTTCTGGGAAGAGGCCAAGGAAGACGAATGAGATAAAGAGAAAAGACGCAGCAGTAGAGTTTAAAGAAGGGTTGATTTGTCCCATAATCTGTATTTAAACCATTTACGATTGTTGGTTTGCTTTTCCATATGAATGACGTAAGCTTTATTCTTTGAAAAAAAAAACACACAAAAAACATTGTATGAATGTGTAATATTTTTGTTTGTTTTCCAAATACATGTATAAAACTGATAGTCAGTGTTGCCATTGGTGAGAGGCTATTTTCTTTTCTTTGTCACTTTTTCTTTTCATTTCTTTTTGAAGTCTTTTGGTAAGCACGATATTCCATATTACAGGCGTGAGTATGAGGAAGAACGTCAGATCAATAGATAATTAAAGTTTATCTCTGTTAATTAATGTAGAAAGCAGGTTAATATTGATGTAAAGTTCATTCATGAATGGGCAATAATTGTGGACATAATTGAATTTATGATTTCTACACAAGAACTATGAAAAAAAAAAACAATTACAGTAAATGTACCTAATTTATTCAGTATAATACACAGATTTTTCACTTGATTTTTTTTTTTTTTTTTTTTTTTTTCTTCTTCTTTCTTTCTTTCTTTCTTTCTTTCTTTTTTCTCTCTCTCTTTTTTTTTTAATATAATGATTTGTATTATGTTAGTATTTTCCTATAATCTTTTACATTTAGATGTGTATCACTTACTAAGATTGTCTATAGATGATACAATAGCAAGATCTCTTTTCATGTCAGCAGTCTTACACTATATTTTTGTACCTGTAGGATTACATGATACAAAGAGGGAATTTGTATGTCAGTATAAAGTTGCTGTCGGAGGCAAGCTCACGAAGCACAAGCATTCGTGTACAGAAGTCATGTGATCTTGTCATAAACCTGTTTAGCACATGTTGGCTTGGTACTTATGGAGGCT